CGGTCCCTGGAGCTGGGGGGGCGGGGCGTGGTGGGGTCAAGATCCCTACCTCTCCATTGGAGCTGGGATGGGAGCCTCTTCTTCTTCTTCTTCTTCTTCTCATTTCCTCTTCTCTTCCCGTCCTCTGGAGGTGGGTTGGGTTATTGGCTTGACCGGACACTGTGCAGCCAATGATGCCATTCCTGCCCAGAGGTATGTGATTAATGCTGCTTTAAAAAATTAGCACATTAATTTTGTTTTCAGTTAATTGCAGGCATTAACTGTGATAGACAGCCCTACAAGAAAGTTTGTACACCTCTACCCCGATATAATGTGGTCCGATATAACGCAAATTCGGATATAATGCAGTAAAGCAGCACTCCGGGGGACGGGGCTGCTCTACCTCGTTACATCAGAATTTGTGTTACCGCAAGCGGTTCCTCTGCACGCGCGTGTGCACACACATACACCCCCTTACTTGCTGTGGCCCTTCCCGGGGCCCCCCCACCCCAGCTCACCTCTGCTCCTCCTCCATGGGAGGAGGCAGAGGTGAGCTGGGGTAGGGGGGCCACAGTACGGGGGGGCGCAGAGGAACCACTCCCTGCCCCAGCTCACATCCACTCCACCTCCGTCACCACCTCCTCCTCCTCCTCCCATGAGCACACCGCTCAGCTCCACTTCTCCGTCCCAGGCTTGCCGTGCCAAACAGCTGATTGGCGCAGCAAGCCTGGGAGGGAGGGGGGAGAAGCGGGGCTGCGGCGCGCTCGTGGGAGGAGGCGGAGCGGAGGTGAGCTGGGGTGGGGGGCCCAGGGGAGGGCTGCAGCAAGTAATGGGGGGGGGGTCTCAGAGGAACCGATCTCCGCTCCAGCTCATCTCCACCTCCTCCCCTGAGCATGCCGGGCCAAACAGCTGATTGGCATGGCAAGCCTGGAAGGGAGGGAGGCGGGGAGAAGCGGAGCGGCATGCTCGGGGAGGAGGCGGAGGCAGAGCGGAGGTGAGCTGGGGCGGGAAGTGGTTCCTCTCTCTCTACCCCAATATAACACGGTCTCACCTATAACACGGTGAGATTTTTTTTGGCTCCCCGGGGACCGTGTTATATCGGGGTAGAGGTGTATATGGATGTTGTGCCCCTTGAATTATGCCTTAAATATATTCTCTTTGTGTATGCATGTAATGGAAGGAACACACAGGAACCATATTCCTGCACTAGTCTAGTGATGGGTGTTGAGGGCAAATCAGTTCAGTGAGAAATTTAGGTTGAAATCAAGAAGGAAATAGAACATAGACTAATCTGTAGCTATAAGGCTTGGAGGCAGCTAAATACAAATTTTTTAAATCTGGGCTCTCAATTCTATTGCAGGTTTAACATGCTGAGCCTGATTTATCCATTACCCTGCACCTTGCATATCTGTGCACAGTGAGTGTGAAACACAACTGGAAGCATTTTGTGTCCATTTTACACTCACTTTGCACTGGAATACACAGCTACGTAAGGTTCAAAGCAATGGGGGAACTGATCCACTTTTTTTTTTTTTTTTTTTTTGGTAGTGCATCTTTATAGAGTATCATAAGCTGGTGGAGTGGATCAGCTGGTTTAGCAATCAAAATATTATTTAGTGCAAATTTCTTCCTAAAGGCTTTATTGTGAAGGACTTATTATAAAGTTTGTTGCAAAGAAAAAAACCAAAGGCCTTTGCTTCCCAACCCTGCTTAATTATTTCCTCCACCTACCCTTAGCAGTTTGATGTCTAACCACAGAATTTGGGTAGTCTTTGCCCCAGCACAAACATAAAACATTTTCTTAAAATAGACTTTGACACAATGTATTGTGCTTTGGGATGCCTTGTTGCTTGGATTAAACTTTCAAATATGGTTTGCATGTGTGTAGTGAGTTTGACTTAGTTTTTTAAATAAAAGGATATGAATTTGCTTCTATAAGTTTAACAGGGACCTGAAACTAAGGCAATTAGTTATAGGCATAAGAGGGAATCCTTCATATAAGAATTTTTTGGTTTTGGGAATGGGGAATGAAAATTAGTTTCAAGGACTTTTTCCCCTCTAGAACATAATGGTGGATTCTTAGCTGGAGGTCAGGAAAGCCACTCTCCTTTTTTCCATATGGATTTCTGCTCTGTACCACTCTCTCTTCCTCCACAGAAGTAATTATGAATGTAAGAGGATTAATCATTTATGAAGAGCTGTTGATTTGTAGATCTGTGAAACCATTTATTGATTTACAGACTTTTCATAGATCAGTAATCGAAATGTCGTAGTGTTTGCTAGTTGTCTGCAATACATGCTTGTGAGGCACTCTTGTTGTTAATCTCAATTCAAAACTAAATCAACTGTAAATTCTTAAAAGCAGTGACTGCCTTGTATGTACAGTGCCCCATACATTGCAGGCTCTACAGCAATTATTTATAATAAGCTTTTGGCACTGGATGTACTTCACAAAAACTAATTTGTTTGCTGCTGTAGCTTTCCATATGTCAACTTCTGTCACAACAGGTGTTCTTTTAGGACGTGTTGATTTCTCTCTGTGCCTTTTGAGGTGACCTGCAAAGGTATTTATAAAAATTGATCTTTTACTGCTTTATAATGAATAAAGAAGGCCTGAAAAGTTCAGCAAGAAGAAGAAGCCTTATTTTACCTTAATGTCAGGAATGTCAGTTCTGGTCTTGCTGGAGGGCTGGCTTGGGAGCCACAGATGATGCGTATTCTCAACCCTTAACTGAAGAATGAGGGTGTAGAACCTTTGATTTCCTCTTTCCAGAATATTAGTCATTGAGGATAAATAGGAGTAATAAAAGCCTAAAGCAGAGCTGTAAACAGCTGCATTAAAAATCTCTTCCTGTCCTTTCCTCAGTTACCTCAAGAAGGCTCAGCTTTCACTCTTCTGGCTTACAATTTCATTTCACTAGTTGTCGTCTAGATTCATCCTGTGTAGAAAACCAACTTCTAATTTTAAAAACAGAATTTTTTAAAAGAGCAAAAGAAAAATTCATGTAAACTTTGTACATCATAAAGAACCAAAACCACATACAAGTCCAATTTTTGTTTCCCTTTGCATATCGTTGTACAGTTTATTTAGGTACCTAATGCTCTCCATGTAGAGGCATATCCAGCCCAGTAGCGCTATGCTTTAATAAGCATCGCTTCACTGGTGTTTGTATAACCTCTTTGCAGAAACTCATTATTCATGATTTTTATCTTGCCATTTAATATGCATAATAGCTCAGCTGCTGTTGGTGAAAGTTTTCTAGCTCAGCAGCAAGTTGCCCATGTTTAACAGCTATAGAGGAAAGTGGAAATAGGTATAGTATGGTAAACACTGAAAATTCAGACTCAAGACCAGAGTCCTTGTGGCAGTCTATTGTACAATAGTGATGCTTTTTAAAATGTGTTCCAATTTATTGGTTAGTATTGGGAAGAACTGTCTAATGGTTTGAACCATGGGATTGTGAATCAAACACCAGCCATGTCACTGATTGCTCTCTGGCCTTGGGCAGTCATTTAGCCTCTCTGCCTTCATTTGTGTAATGAGGAATAATACCCACTTATTTTATATTGCTCTTATGGGAATTAAGTATGAATGTAACTAGATATGTTGCTTGTATGTGACAAAGCATTTTCTAAATGCTTAATTTAATTATGATGACAAAGTATGATGAAACTCCTCCAAAGGCTGTGAAATCCTTCATCGTGAGTTTAGCATTGCTAATAGTGATGCATCTTAAGTGTGGTACGCTGTGATCATCAATAGGGCCCTACCGAATTCATGGTCCCATTTGGTCAGTTTCACAGTCATGGGATTTTAAAAATTGTAATTTCATGATTTCAGATATTTAAATCTGAAATCTCATGGTATTGTAATTGTAGTAGGGGTCTTGACCCAAAAAGGAGTTGGGGGGGTCACAAGGTTATTGTGGGGGGGTTGCAGTACTGCTACCCTTATTTCTGTGCTGCTGCTGTTGGTGGTGCTACCTTCAGAGCTGGGTGGCTGGAGAGCGGCAGCTGCTGACCAGGAGCCCAGCTATGAAGGCAGAGCCGCCGCCAGCAGCTGCGCAGAAGTAAAGATGCCATGGTATCATATTGCCACCCTTACTTCTGCGCTGCTGCTGGCAGGACACCACCTTCAGAGATGGGCGCCCAGCCAAAAGCCACCACTCTCCGGCCACCCAGCTCTGAAGGCAGCGCAGAAGTAAGGGTGGCAATACCGCAACACCCCCTCTCTAAAATAACCTTGCGGGGACCCCCCCGCCTCTCCCACCCACAACTCCCTTTTGGGTCAGGACCCTCAATTTGAGAAACACTGGTCTTCTCCTGTGAAATCTGCATACTATAGGGTAAAAGCACACAAAAGACCAGATTTCATGAGTGGGGAGACCAGACTTCACAGTCCGTGACCTGTTTTTCATGGCAGTGAATTTGGTAGGGCCCTAATCATCAGTCTGACATGTCCTTATTGCCTTGTTAAACTTACTGGTGGTAAACTGGAGGAGGTCCTTTTGGAGTGTGCATCGGGAACACTACCTGTCTTTGGTACTCAGGGTCCCTCAATACATTTGTGAGGGAGGGAACTTTCCCCATCTTACAGATGGCAAACTGAGGCACAAAGAAGGTATGTGACTTGTACAAAGTCTCAGATTTCCTGACTTGAAACCAGGTCTCCTAAGTTCTAGGCTACAGCCCTAACTATTGGACCAGCATTCACCTCCAGTCAAAACATAACTGCTCTTTGCATGACATTGCTGATAACATAATAAATTATTGCAAAGAGTCCAACAAAATTAAGCTCTGAACTGTGTGTTTATAAAATTTGGACCTAGTTTAACTACATAAATCCAGTCAGAATAGTAGGAAAGGTTTGTAACTGGTTAGAAATCTAGAAAATGTGATATTCTGAAATGGATTAAACGTAAAGCTTTAAATTTACACTTTACAGCTTAAACAGTTCTTTATGTACTTAGTGTACAAATTATGCCTGTGCATGTCTTTCTAATTTTTTTTTTTCTGTTCAGGTCTACTGAATCTAGTTTCAAAGTCAAGGGCCAAAGATTGTTAGGAAGAAGGGATTGATCTCTTAAATGGACATCTGCTTTCACGTTATGGCTCAGATATCCAGTAGCAATGGACAGCGTTCATCTCCTTCGTTGGGAACTGCAAGGACAAAAGATGTGGACAAAGAAGAGGCATTGCAGATGGAAGCTGAGGCACTAGCTAAGATGCAAAAGGAAAGAGTGGTAACTGGTAATAAGCAAACTTCTGAGTCTTTAAGCAGCACCAGACAAAAAGCACAAACTCATAATAAACAGGACCATGATCTCATGGTGTTTCCAGAGTCTGCTGCCAAAAAGAGGGTGGAAGATAAATTAAGCACTGTTGATATAGATAAAATGACCCATGCTGAATTAGAGAAACTGCTGCTAGATGAAAGTTTTGAATCTAGTAAAGTACCTGCATTACCAGCAACTCCTGTTCTGAGCCCATCATTTTCTTCACCATTTTATATTGGGCCTACTGGTCAAAGAGGACAGTGGACACCTCGGCTACCTGGGCCTGTGACTTGCACTTTACCTCCTATTTACCCATCAGCTTCTTACAATAAACAAGCTGGTGTATTTCAGAATGGCTTCCACCTAAGCATGTCCACCTATCAATCTACAGAACCTGTTTATCTTAGTCTTCCCGGTCGGTCTCAATACATTTCATACCCATTGACAACTACTACACCTTTCCATCCACGAGGAAGCCTGCCCATGTATCCTCCAACACTCACGCCAGAAATGGCAAAAGTATTTGACAAAATAGCCAGCACCTCTGAATTCTTGAAAAATGGGAAATCCAGCACTGACTTAGAGATGACTGATTTTAAGTCTATAGTACCTAAATTACCAACCTCAGAAAACTCCAGTGATATTAGTAAATTTGATTGGCTGGACTTGGATCCTCTAAGTAAACCAAAAGTGGATAATGTGGAGATCTTGTGTAATGCAGAGGATGATGCAAAGGTGACTTCGAGTACAGTTGCAGAAGATCCATGGGATGCTGTGCTACTAGAAGAAAAATTGCTAGTAACGTGTCATCTTGAAAGAAAAGTGAATGGGAAATCCACTGCTGGGGCAACAGTTACAAGAAGCCAGTCTTTAAACATTCGAACAACTCAGCTTGCAAAGTTACAGGGCCAAACACCACAGGTATAATAAATCTTCAGTATTTCAAATTGCATTGTTAAACTTTCTAATACTGGTTACAATATCTTTCAAGATACTTAGATTAAAATTTGCATCTATGTTGTCCTTAATATAAACCATAAATGGAGTCTTTTTAAAAAGACTCCATTGGCAGGGATAAATCTTCAAATAAGCCAGCACTCATTAGACTGTTGTGTGTAATTTTGATGAATGTTGGAATAGTCAATACTGCTCTTTTAGAGTGATCCTAACTCAATCTAATCAATTTTAAGTAGTTGCCTCCTAAGAAGTGTTTGTGGTTCACTGAAGAAGTTGTGAAATGCATTTGCTATTCTGTGACCCCTTCAGTGAAAGGAAGAGTGATTCTGGGTGTTTTTAAAAAACCGTTTCTCTGTATGGTAACTCCTGTTGTAGTGATTGGATTTTTTTTAATGTTACATAAATTTTATGAAGATTAATTTAACCTGAGGGTCACCTAGTACATAAATTTAAACTTTTAACTCTATAATTAAACAATAAGCATACTCAAACTGTTGCCCTTGCTCCTGGAACTCAGACACCTCAGCGAAAATTATATGCAGATAAGCATATAAAGTTCCCCACATTCATGTTCAGAATGAAAATATCCGATAGCTGTAATGAGTAGCTGCAGTTTTGTTGTCTCGTTTTTAAATTCTAGTTAACAAGTTCAACTTTGAGCATGCGTGTCACCAGTGGATTCTAATCTCTTCTAAATCACTCCTGAGGGCATGTCTACACTAGAAGCGCTACATCAGCGCAGCTTCACTGCTGTAGCATATCTGGTGAAGACTATATCTATGCTGATGCTCTACTCTCACAACCCTGAGCAACATAAGTTAGATCAACTTAAGCGGTTGTGTAGACCTACCCTCAGAAGCAGCTGAATTAGAACATCTGATCATTATGGACCAATTTGGGGGTCATGTAATAATTTTTGTTGTCAGAAAGGGGTCGTGGTGCAATGAACCCGTGGAATAGAGTGCAGAGGAGAGATGGGATTCCATCCTCTCTCCTAAACATGTTGTTCTCTCCTAAACATGTTGAAGATTTAAATGATCCAGAGCAACTTAACTGCTAATGTATGCCATTGGCCTGACTTTCAGAGTTGCTGAGCATGCACAACTCCCTTTGAAATTAGAGCTACAGGTGGTCAAAACTTCTAACAATACCATAAGCAGGCAATAGGCTGCCTGCCCAGGCAGTTATGTCAGTGAAAATTTACATTCCATACTTTCAAAATCAGGGCTGCAGTCCATATTGCACAATCAAGTGAATGATTAAAAACAAATAACTTTAACATTCCTCTTAAAGTTGATCTACTTGCCAAGAGAAAATATTGGGTGTTTTTGTGATGTGTAAAGTAGACACAAGTTTTGTTTTGTTTTGTTCTCTCCCCCCCTCCCCCCCCCAGAAAGTTTTTTTTACTTTGATTTAAGCTATCCACTAAACCCTCCAAACAGAAAGAAAAAAAAAAAAAAAAAAAAAGGAGGGGAAGATGACTAGACTTGACACACTGATATATCAATTACCTCGAGGGATGTCAAGCAATTAACAAAATTAATCACGCGATTGAAAAGATTAATCGTGTGATGTTAAACAATAATAGAATACCATTTATATAAATATTTTGGGATGTTTTCTACATTTTCCAATATCTTGATTTCAATTGCAACACAGAATTCAAACTGTACAGTGCTCACTTTATACTTATTTTTATAATATTTGCACTGTAAAAATAAAAAATAGTATTTTTCATTTCAGTTAATACAAGTACTTTAGTGCAGTCTCTTTATCAAAAAAGTTGAACTTACACATGTCGAATTATGTACAAAAAATAACTGCATTCAAAAACAAAACAATGTAAAACTTTAGAGCCTACAAGTCCACTCAGTCCTACTTCTTGTGCAGCCAGTCGTTGAGAAACAGGTTTGTTTACATTTGCAGGAGATAATGCTGCCTGCTTCTTATTTACAATGTGACCTGAAAGTGAGAACAGGGGTTCACATGGCACTGTTGTAGCCAGCGTTGCAAGATATTTACGTGCCAGATGTGCTAAAGATTCATATGTCCCTTCATACTTGAACCACCATTCCAGGGGACATGCGTCCATGCTGATGGTGGGTTCTGCTCAATAACCATCCAAAGCAGTGCAGACCAATGCATGTTTATTTTCATCATCATTTTATTTTTTTATCATCCGAGTCAGATTTAACCAGCAGAAGGTTGATTTCCCCCCCCCCCCCCTTTTTTTGGTGGTTCATGTTCTGTAGTTTTTGCATCAGTGTGTTGCTCTTTTAAGACTTCTGAATGCATGCTCTACACCCTGTCCCTCAGATTTTGGAAGGCACTTCAGATTCTTAAATCTTGGGTCGAGTGCTGTAGCTATTTTTAGAAATCTCACATTGGTACCTTTTGTGTTTTTTCAAATCTGCAGTGAAAGTGTTCTTAAAATGAAAAACATGCTGGGTCATTATCCGAGACTGATATAACATGATATATATGGAGAATGCACATAAAACACAGAGCAGGAGACATACAATTCTCCCCCAAGGAGTTCAGTCACAAATTTAATTAATGCATCATCAGAATGGAAGCATGTCCTCTGGAATGGTGGCCGAAGCATGAAGGGGCATACTAATGTTTAGCATATCTGGCACGTAAATACCTTGCAATGCTGGTTACAAAAGTGCCATGCGAAAGTCTGTTCTCACTTTCACGTCACGTTGTAAATAAGAAGCAGGCAGCATTATCTCCCATAAATGTAAACTTGTTTGTCAACGATAGGCTGCCAAAGAAGTAGGACTGAGTGGACTTGTAGGCTCTAAAGTTTTACATTGTTTTGTTTTTTGGGTGCAGTTATGTAACAAAAAAATTTTATATTTGTAAGTGGCGCTTTCACGATAAAGAGATTGCACTGTGGTACTTGTATTTTACAGTGCAAATATTTGTAATAAAAATATAAAGTAAGCACTGTACACTTTGAATTCTGTGTTGTAATATAAATCAATATATTTGAAAATGTAGGAAAAACATTCAAAATACTTAATAAATTTCAATTGGTATTCTATTGTTTAACAGTGCGATTAAAACTGGAATTAAATTTTTTGTGTTAATCGCATGAGTTAACTGCAATTAATCGACAGCCCTAGTTACCACAGAAATGTTACCTTTGCTGAAACTACATTCCTTGGATAACAAGCTATATAATTAGCAGACATTTTAAAGATATATAGGATTTCTTGTTTTAAACTGCTAGGAATATGTAGCCATGTGATTAGTTTTTAATCCTTGATGGGTGCTACTAAAATTACTTTAATGTGAAAAAATTTAAGAAATCAGATCACAAGCCGTTTGCTATTTTCCAGTATTGCTAGAACTTTAATCAATGACTCTTGGCACAATGTGTCATGAATGCTGAGGCGAGGCAATAATTTAAAATATTGTTACATTGATTCATAATAATTCATGAAGATCTACACTTCTTCCAGCAACTGGTGACACATGTTTGCCAAGTGTATCTGCTTTATTTAGTTTATGTCCAGGAAAAACATATTAGCTTGGTGATTTAGACTTTCAAGTGTCTCTGTGAAAGTGCACTAAATCAAAAACTGGTCATACAGTGGCATTATAAAAATCAGTGGTGTCGCCATCTGAGAGGATATTACAGAATTAGAAAGGGTCCAGAGAAGAGCAATGAGAATGATTAGGAAGGTACATGACTTTCATATAAAGAGATTGAAAAGGCTGAGGTTGTTTATCTTGAGAGAGGACATGATGCAGGTATACAAAATAATGAATGGGGTAGAGAACATAGATTGGAAGCTTTTGTTGTCCTTGTCCCATCATAACATAAGCAGGTGACAAATTCAAAACTGATAAATGTTTTTCCCACATTGCATAACTAGACTGTGGAACTCATTGTCACAGGATGCTGAGACCAAGATTTAGAAGGAATTAAATGTTTATAGGGTCAAGAACGACCAAAGTTGTTCTTTAAATAAAAATATTGGAAGTGAGATAAAACCTCGTGCTTCAAGCCTTAACTATTTTATTAGGGATTATGATGAGACCTTTGTGGCAGGCAGATTATCTCCCATCTGCCAACTGTGGGGTTTCTTGTGTTTTCCATTGAAACAATCGGTGTTGGTCACTGTCAAACAGGGTACATGACTTGATGGACCAAGGGACTGATTCAGTTTGGCAACTATACCTTTTTTAAGTGGCCACATTTGCTTTCCTGAGCTGCCATCTCTCCAGAAAATAGCCTTTCACTATAGAATTCCTCATGCTTGTCAAAAGAGGCAATAAAATCTCTAAAGACTTCAGCAGGAAATTTTTTCTGCTATAATTCCCCCTTACAGTCTGGAAAGTCATTATTATGGAAATTGTGTCCACAGAAAAGGGATTTAGAGGATTTAGTTGCAATACCAAAGTACAATTCTCAAAGCAGTCATTTGAATTTCATCATACACTATCCACACAACATCCAAACAGAACAATGGTATGGATCTTCTGCTGGATCTCTAAAATACTTGTTATAAAGTAAATATAGTTCTAAATTTGCTCCCTAAAATCTTCTCCAAGACTCTCCTCTAACCATGCTCTTTCTAGAAAAAGAAATATTGACAAAGCAAAAGAATAAATGTTTGTCTTCCTTAATTTTCTATTGGTAATGTTCCTTGCATCTCAGTGAGTGTTTCCTGCTGTTCTGGGCTGGTTGTCCTATTTTGGAAGGCTTTTTCCCCACCACGGTTCCCTCTATTTTGTAAGAGACTAGAGGTTTGAAAAGCTGCTGCGTGAGGAGTAGAATGTCAATATAACTTTTTGTCTTGTGTGTAATTCTAACCTTTGAGATCTGTGAACTCATTCTTCCTGTAGTCTGTGTTTAGAGAGGCAAACATAGTTTCCTTGTTTTTAACTTCTGTAGCCAATGTTTTTAACTTCTGTAGCCCTTTAACAATGACAACATATCAGATGTCTTT